TCTAGAAACTGATCTGGCTCTTCTTCGAAAACGGAATTTTGAGCTTTTTGCCATGGCAAAAAGCATGGTTTCTACAAGCTCTGGCTTGGCCCCATTACCCACTTCTCGCAATTCTCTCTCGTCACTCAAATCAGGTCAATTGGCTTTTCCAAGCCATAGGATTTGTAGTAAGAGACTTAATTCGACAGGGAGATGTGAACCTCCTGTTAGAAAGATTGTTTGTGCCTGTACAGCTCCTCCAAGAAACTGGAACGACGGCTCGGCTATTCAATTCAATGTATGTTTTTCCCTTTTCTTTGTATAAGATTTTGGTTCTTTCTTTGTTGTTGCTTTCCATTAAAAGATTGTTTCTTTCTCTTCAGATTGAGATACTTTGCCCTTTTCTTTTCTTTAATGAAAAACACTCGAGGATTTTTTTTTTTTTCATACTCTTTGTTGTTCTAGTTTTGGATAGGTATTGATGTCATTGATAATTTGACTTTTTAATTTCTTGATGCCCAATCTCTTTCTTATGACTTTTTTTATGAATAAAGAATTGAATTTATTTGAATTCTAAGAATATTAAGAGTATAATTTTAGGATGCCCTGAATTTCACTGATGATATGCTTATTCAAAGTGGGTTTTGAATTATATAAGTCCTTCAGTTGTATTAGGTTGAATGAATCTTTTAGATTTGTTTTGGGTGGATGATTATTTGCTTTCTAGTTTTCTTTCTTTTGATTTAATATTGGGGGTTTTTGAATTTAGACTGGTTCGGTTTTTGGGTTTGTGCTTGTAGGATACGCCTGTCTCAGAGGTTGAACATCTGAGCAGAGAGCCTGAGGATGATTCCGATGTCTTGATTGAGTGTAGAAATGTTCACAAGTCATTTGGTGAGAAACAAATTTTGAAAGGTATCAGCTTCAAGGTAAATTCTTAAGTTCGGATTATATGTCTCTATACCTTTTCTGTAGAATGTTTAATTGTTCTTGGAAGGAATCTTGAAAATAAATTTTCACTCCTGTGGAATACATTACACTCCCCAAAAATGATTGAATAGTAGGAACGTGCTTGAGACTAGTTGCCACATTCCATGTAATACAGTAATACAGGGCCTGCTCTTATTAGCTTTACGGTGCCACATTCCATGTATATGGAAATGATGGATTTAAGTGATTGTGTCTGTATACTATGCTTCTGTAGTCTGTTCCATTGTCTGACTTTAGTTATGTGGTGTTCTATAGAAATAAATTTTCAATCAATGATTCTTTGGGATGAATATCAGTTCTGGGTTTGGAAGATAGAAGTTTGATATCTTTGATAGTTTGATGTATCGAATTCTGTCATGCATACGATTTGTGTTTCTTCATACACATAACTCCTAGAATGATTATGATGTGTCAGTTGGTTTGTGAGGAATGTGGCTCCCAAATAATCCAAATTAGCTATAAGAAGAAAAATAAGAAAGTAGAATAACATTAGCAAAAAATTGCTTTATCCAAAGCAAGGTTCAGAAACTCGTCTCGGTCAAGGTATTCAGCCCTTGGCTAAGTCGAGTAACTCGCCCAAGTCCATATGGATTAAGCCAAGTGATGTACAACCAAAAAATAGGTCAAAAAAGGGTAATTTTTTTCAAAATAGTTAAAAGTAAGAAAAAAAAAAAAAGAGTTAATTGAAAGCATTAGAAGACTAAAAAGATGAAAAGAATCTATAAAATATGGATTATTGAAATTTTTTATTTAGATTTTGAATATTTCAATTTTTTTTAGAAAAACAGAAAAAGCTATGAAAGTACTCAAATCATCTTAAAAACTACCAAAATTATCTGAAAACTTAATTCTAAGTTTCTAACAAATAAAGTGCTATTTTCCACATTTTCTGCATTTTTTCTATTTTATTAAATTATAAGGGTGGGGTGACTGGCCGTGGAACTCACCTCTACTTGGTCCCTAAAGATGAGTTGCATGGAACTCGCTTCTACTCGGTCTCTCCCTTAGGGCAAGTCCAAGTAACTCACTCAAGTCCAATTGGACTCGGGTGGGTCATGGAATTCAGATCCAAAGACAAGGTGAAAGCAATAATATATCATTAGTATCTGATATGGTTCTTTTGTTGTGCTTGTGCTTGTTTATAGTTGTCATATTTATAACGAGTTGCATGGAACTCGCTTCTACTCGGTCTCTCCCTTAGGACAAGTCCGAGTAACTCGCTCAAGTCTGTTGGACTCGGGCAGGTCATGGAATTCGGATCCAAAGATAAGGTGAGAGCACCAATATATCATTAGTATCTGATTTGGTCCTTTTGTTGTGCTTGTGCTTGCTTTATAGTTGTCATATTTATAACTGAATAATACACAGTTGGGACCTTGGTAAGTTGCTCTTTTTCTACAAGTCTTATAAAACACGTCGATGTTCGAAAATTCGGCCACCTAGGCGGAATTTGGCCGCTCAGCTGCCTAAGCGGCCAATCGCCTAAAATGCTTAGTTAGAACCTAGGCGGCTTGCGTCTAGGTGCTTCAGTCAAGGCAGCTGCCTTGGAGCAGGTTGCCATGCCCTCGGCTATGGTCAAAATAGTAATTTTTCCCCCTTAGAAAAGGGAGGAAAAGGGTTTTGGGGGGCATTCTAAACCCCAAAACCAAATTCGTTCCATATAGAGAGAAAAACTTCCCAAAAACCTCTATTTTTTATTTATCGAAAGATCGATAAATTTTCGATTACTTCTGAAATGAAAGGCAATGCTTCGTGGTAGTTTTCAGAGCTTCTAGTGGCCAATAGTGAGGACTTTTGGCGATTGAATAGATGAGGTTTGGGCCGACATCGTCTTCATTTTGATATGTTCAAAGCATTATGCCATTATGATATTTGAATAAGGGTTTTTTGCTATAACGTATTATATTTTGAATCATTTGATCTTTCTTTTTTTTCATTTTTTTTTTCTTTTATGATATCTTTGCATGTTTGTGATTAATTGATTATTAAGTCGTTTGTTTGTACGATGAAATTGGTCTTATATCGAATTCTTTTTATGAATAGCGGGTTCTTACTTTGTACAATGTGTGATGTTTTGATATCCTATTAGTTTTGCTTAACTTTTTTTATATTTTTACATATTTGTAGATGGAACATTTACCGATTTGGACTTATATTATGTGAATACTCATAAATTTTGGATGAAATCGATATTTCTTGAATATTTGATATCCAAAATGAAATCTTATGGATATTTATTAGTAAATAATATTATATTATAACTTTTATCTTAAATAGTCGCAACCTGTCCCTAGGTGGGTGCCTATGCCTTTTTGAACAATGAAACACACAATGGCAATTGATATTTTTCAGTAACTGCGCATATTAATGGACAATGAAAGTTGTCTGGTTCATACTAACACTGAGAAAATATTACTTAGCAAGCCATCTCTGATATAATATGCAACAGCGAGAAATTGTTTGTTGTATTTTGTGGTACACTGAAGTTCCCATTGGTGCTTACGTTGTCTGGAGACTGATGCTGCAAAGAATTTTTGCACATAGGGGAGCGTTAGTTTATCTTGTATTAAACTGAATATGCCAATTAAAATGAGTTTGAATTAGCAACTAATGGAAGTAGTGAAATAAGGAATCGTTATTCCATGTGTAAATACTACAAGATTGGTCAAATAATATGTACCTAAGATTTTCTCCCATTGGTTGGCAATTGGGATAAGCTTGGATGATGATGAAGGTGGTCATGTAGTCTTATTCATGATGGAATTGAAGTTTGTTTGTTTTTCTTTTTTTCTTATGGATTAATATCTTACATGTTCTTCTCATCCTAATCTTCATCTAGTGCTTGATTGCCTTAGAGTATAATATTTATATATTGATATGTTTTTCTTATTCTTTTAATAGTTCTTCTGGATTGACAGATCAGACATGGGGAAGCTGTTGGAATAATTGGTCCATCTGGCACTGGGAAGTCAACAGTTTTAAAGATTATGGCCGGACTTCTTGCTCCTGACGAGGCAAGTGGTCCTCTTTAATTTCAGCACTTCCTAATTTTGTTTCTATTGAAGTACTGTTACTTTGCTAGTTGGCTGGGTTCTAGATTTCAGGCATCTTTAGAAATCATCTCTTGGTTATTTGAAGTTTTGTCTTCCAATGAGCAGGGGGAGGTTCGTATTAGAGGAAGGAAGAGACATGGTTTGATCAGTGATGAAGAAATATCAGGCTTGCGGATTGGCTTGGTCCTTCTCTCTCTCTTTCTCTATCAATATATATATATATATATATATTGTGTGTGTGTGTGTGTGTGTGTGTGTGTGTGTGTGTGTGACGCACATGGATGTGTCATGAATATTCAACTTGGTGCGAAACTTACAAATGCTTATGGGAGTAACATGTGAATTGCATGATTTACGGGAGTTGCTGATTATCTGTTTTGTGATATCATTTATTGCCACCCATAAAGAAAATGAATTCAATTATCATTACATGAGCTTAGAGTGGCTCTATTATGAAATAGTAAGCGCTCAATTTTAGAGAATAAAATCAGAGTCTAATCATGAGGATGCTAGTAGCATTCAGGATGAGTGTTGTTGATCTCAATGACAGCGAGACACAACTTCCCTCTCTTCATGTAGTTGAAGTGTGCTTTTTGTTACCAATAAATTAAAAGAATAAAGCCTATATCTTAACTCCCATTTTTGTGTTCATGGATTACAGGTATTTCAAAGTGCTGCACTTTTTGATTCTCTAACAGTTCGTGAGAATGTCGGCTTCCCTCTGTGAGCACCATTTTCAATTTTGTGAGCCTGTCTTATTACCTTTCCCGCTTTCCTTGGAAAAAAGATGAGGTGGTCTCGTGAGGCCACTGTTAAAGCACGTTTTTCTATACTAAAACACTGTTAGAACTCTGATTACATATATTGGTCGGGGGAACCTGTGTTGATGATCTTATGGGACAACCATAAACCTGCTTTTTTTGTTTTGAGTGGATTCATATATAATGTGCCTTACACGACGTTTCTTTATTCTTTGTACTGATAGGTATGAACACTCCAACATGCCAGAGGATCAAATAGCAGAGCTTGTTACAGAGAATTTGGCAGCTGTCGGCTTGAAGGTATTGCAGATTATATGAGATACAAATATTGTTACTGTTTCATTTTTTGGATATATAACATATATGCTGGTGCTTACATATATCCAATATGCTGGCTTTATAGATTTCATTCTTCATTCTTATATTATTCTTCTAATGCAGTTTAGTCCCCACTATTCAGGTTTGGTATGTTTAGTCTGATTTAGAGGTATTAGACTGAACTCATGTGAACAGAAAAATAATGCAGCTTCTGTTGATTCTTTATGAAAACATGCAACTTTTATTCATTCATTAGCTACTATAAAAAGGTTTAGTTCATTAATTAATTTTTAAGATCACTTAATTATTTATTCTTTGATAACTCTTATCCTGAAGATTTACCATCGGATTTGAACACTTTGGTTATTCTCTTGGATGTGTTTGATGTGGGTTTCGCCGCCTAAGGTGGTGCATGTTGGGTCCATTTCTACCATTTCTTTTAATTGGTATAATGAAATTGGGCATGGATGCCTACTACATTAATTCATCCAGAAACAATAGGGACAGAGTAGTTGAGGTACCACTTTTATGGCTGTAAAAAAAAAATGGATAATTTTAAAGGTTGAGACTTAAATCAGTTAAGCTGAAGCATCAATCTCTTAGTTGCATAAATATTTTAGATAGGCGATGCAAAAGCAAAGGGCAGGGAAGAGAGAGAGGGAGAGAGAGAGAGAGAGAGAGAGAGAGGAGGGAGGAGAGAGAGAGAGAGAGAGAGAGAGAGAGAGAGAGAGAGAGAGAGAGAGAGAGAGAGAGAGAGAGAGAGAGAGAGAGAGAGATTGGAATGTCCAAACCCTAAGTCTTCTTCCTATAATATTCTTTTAAGGAAAAATTGTGTAGAGACCAGAAAACTTTACCAGAATTTTAGTTTGGTCCATATTTTTGGATATTTTATGCAGAGGTCCTGCTCTTTCATCTCGCCTTTTTTTTTAATTCCGGTTTTGCCATGCCTACGTCACTGGTTTTTTAGTTCACCTTTTTTTATATTTGTTGTTTCTAGGGCAGTCTGATGCTGCGAATATTAAACCGACCCATTTTCTGGGTGGTTGGATTTGGGAACATTGGACTGCCCAATGCTTCATTTAAAAAAAGAAATATATGGTCCGCGTTGGAGAAATCTGACTGAAGTTTTTCAAAAAAAAAAGAAAAATAGGATGCACCAATATTTCTAATATTGGATTGACCCAACAAACAGCTACCGCCAAACTATTCGAGGAATTTATGTCCTAGGTGGTCTGCCCGACCGCAAAGACCTTAGTTTATCACAAAAACCTTTTAAAATTTGGCGAAATTTCATGAAGTTTAAGAACTAAGGTAGGCTCATCATTTTAGAAAATTAATAGAGTTCTCTAGGGATCAAGGAAACTGTAAAAAGTTTCAAAAATTTTGTGGTCCAGCAGACCACCTAGACCATAAGATCCTTGGATATTAGTAGAAGTACATTAGTTGTTTGTTGGGTTGGTCTGATATTTGAGATATCGGATCACCATATTTAAAAAAAAATCGGTCCAATGCCTCCAAAATCAGAGTGTATACTTTAAAAAGTATGAAGTATAGGGCGGTCTGATATTTCCAATATCAAATCGATTCAGAAATAGGTCGGTTCAATATCTAGGACATCATACTGCCCTAGAAATAACAAAAATAAAAGAATAAAATGAAAAAAAGCAGTCTGGTGTTTGCAATGTTTGACAGATGGAAACACCAGACCGGTGGAAAAATAGAATTAAAAAAAAGGGAGATGAGAGTGAAGGACCTCCTTTTAAATATCAAAAAATATGGACCAAACTGTAAGTTTGGTCAAGTTTTCTGCTCTCTATATCATTTTTCCTTCTTTTAATTCTAACAACAAAACCTTAACATGACACTGTCATGCATATGTGCAAAACTATTCTCTCATAAAGATAAAATTCAACCAAAGCAAACTGCATGCTGCTGCATCCAAGAACCATCATATTGGTAGTATTGGTTCCTCAGGGTCAGAAAGTATGCAGTGGATGCTCTTGGGTTTGCTGTATCATTTATAACTTTCATAGCAATTCTACTATCTACATATGGTATCAAATTGTTGTTCGTTTCTCTAATCTTTCAGAAAAAAAGCTCATCAAATTGTCCTTTTCTCCAATCTTTCAGAAAAAAAGCTCTTAGATTTGCTGTATTTTTTATGACTTTCATCAGCAATTCTACTATCTACATATGGTATCAAAATGTTGTTCTTTTATCTAATATTTCAGAAAAAGAAAACAAAGGAATGTTCTCTATTACATCTTATGAACTACAGTTGGATTGATGCACGACTCCACTACACAAGGTGTCCAATGGAAACATGTTTCTTTTACTATTTTTGCTTTCTCTTCTACCTAATTTTCGGGATTATCTGTGATTACTGAATAATGTTTTCGCCTTCTAGTTTTGAGTCTTGACATTGTCAATCCATTGCCATAATACAATTTATGTTCTGAAAAGAGAAAATCACTTTTCCATCAAGACAATGAAATAATAAATCCACTAAAGTCTCTCACTGTCAGTCTTTCCATTGTATATATGATACTAGGAATCGATTGTGATCAAGATTCAATTAAAAAAGGGAAAATATCCCCTTATCCCCTATTTTTAACTTCTATATCTCATGAGACCCAAGAAATGCAAATGTTACTTGCAAGCAAAAAGAGTCCATCTTTTCTATCTTACAACCCCCTGGAACCTTTTAACTATAATTTTTTTATCCTAAAAACAACTAAAATGACACTCTATCCTTTTCTTCTCCGTTAAACGTGAACCACCCACCCTGTCTCTCACATCACCTCTCTCTCTCTTACAATCCCAATGAAGCAAAGCAAGATTTTTTTCACAAGCCCGGAGACTTGAACAAAAGGGTATCATTCTCATTCTTCGGCTTGAGTGGCTTCCTCGACTTCTTTTGCCGGACTGGTTCAGCTTTTGCAACAACCGTCGCCATAGCAAGAGAGAGAAAGAGAGAAACTGTTCATTTGCAAAATTGGAGAAGGAGAACCTTGTCCATCTGTCAATTACATATGAGACTTCATGCATATAAAATTGTCCCTCCACTGAAGGTTCCTCGACTAAAGCTCCACACAGGAGCCACCATGTTCTCTCTTCACCCACTTTCTCTCTCTACAATTCTTGTTTCCTCTGGTTCTCAGCAGCCATGACCCTATCTCTCTACCATTCTCTCTCCCTCTGCAACAATCCCAAACCCCTCTTTCTCAAAACGACCCCCAAAGTCTCACTCTCTCTCTAGAAAGACTCATCCCAAAACCCACATCAGGTCTCTATCACAAGCTCTCCATCTATGCCTCCACCTCGCTGGCAAGAGCCCAACTTCTCAAACGCCCCAAATTTGGCAAACATGCAACTACATTTGGGGTTCCTCTGTCTCCTCTAAGCTATGGTGCCTACACTGTCACTCTCGATTTCAGATCACCTCCCCAGCCTCTTTCTTTCATCATGGACACAGGTAGTGAACTTGTTTGGTTTCCATGTACCTCAAAATACAGGAAACAATAATTTCCTCAGAGCTCAGAAAATATTTCAGAGCTGACCGGAGAATTGATCCAAGATTTGTACAATCAGAAAAGAAACCCTAACTTTATGCAAATAAACCCTAATTGCAGACAAACGACTCAAGATTCGTACCAAATTGAAGACCCTATTGATTGCAGAAGAGAGAGACAGAGAGCTTTGAATCTCTTAGAGTCAAAGCATGTAAAGCCCTAGAAGTCTCGAGAGAGAGCTGCCTCGGCTCGCAAGAGAGAGCGAGCTGCCTCTGGTTTTTGCAAGAGAGAGAGTGGCCTCCGGTTTTTGTAAAAGAGAGATGGAGTTTTGAGAGAGACGGTGATGAGAGAGAGGGGGTGGTGCACGTTAATGGAGAAGAAAAGAAGAAAAGGATAGAGTGTCATTTTAGTATTTTTTAGGGACAAAAATTTATAGTCAAAGGGGTTCAGGGGGTTGGCTTATAAGTAATATTTTCATTTCTTGGGTCTCATAAGATATAGAAGTTAAAAACAGGGGATAAGGGGATATTTTCCCATTAAAAAAAGAAAAATTCATGGGCCATTTAGATTTCAGAAATAAGACAAATTTAAGAGTAATGTTGATTTTCTCCTGTGGGGTCCCTCTAACATGTCATCAATGTACCAAACATTTTTCCTTCGTTCTGATATTGAAGCGTAATAAGATGTGTATCATGATGCATAATGATATGCCAAAGCATTTAAATCATTTTCTTCCTATTTATTTCAAACCCTGGATCCTTTTGGTAATCACAATGATGGCTTACTTGCTATAGCAATAAGCTTTATTTGAAAGTAAAAAATCACTCCATAAGAGCCTTATATACTCATATACATGAATCAGATCAGATACTACCTTTTTGTCACAAAGGATGCACTATTCAGCTGCCCAATACCACAGTTTTGAAAGCTAGTGCATTACCTTTCTCATCCAATATTTCTCATCATTGATGTGTTTTTGTATTTTGTTTATAGTAATTTCTTGAACAAATGTAAACTACTTCTAGGCTTCAATAATGTGGCGTGTTTGTGGCCTAAATGATACTCCATTCAATATGCTTGGCCATCAATTACTTTTTTGAAATTCCATCAGAGGTTGCCTCATTTCTTAAGAATTGGAGCACTGCATTTCATCATGTTTCTTATGTGATCGATGGGGCTAGACCCATCAGGCATTTGAGTTTAGACACCTCTTTTTTGTTCTTTAAGGGACTTTCATTGGGGAAACTGCCTCTTTTTAGCTACATAAGTGCCCATCAATACAACTAGACCTAACATGCTACCAAGAAAAGATGCCAGATTAAACTTCTTGAAGATCAATTGAGTACCAGGAAAACTGACTGAATAGTTTTTTCCTTTTTTATTCAAAAAAAAGTTGGGTTGGTTTCTCAATACCATTTTCTTTCACAAAATGATTCCTAAATTGAATTCATTGCTTCATAGCTAGTAGTGCAAAAGCCTGTTCATTAAGTTTCTCTTACTGGGATGAACTCTTGATAATTTAGATATGCTTCCTATGTGGCCTCAGTAATAACTCCTTGCGATTAATCTTTGAGATCATTCTCTTCATGGATCGACATTTTAGCAGCCTCTTAAATAAAGTAGATTCCAACTTTTCTAACCTTAGTATAAGAAAACTCCTGACAGTTTTCATACCCCATATGCCTAAGAATACATGGAGAATGTATCCCATCCCATAAAGAAAAGGGAAGCTATCGATATGCCAATAGTATTAAAAAAATCACAAAATCTACTGTTGTTTCTAGGAAATTTACAATCTGTCTCCCTCTACAAAGTGGCAGGGGCACAATTGACTCCCTCATATATTCCGTGCTCCTTCGCCACCCTCTCAATGACAACAAAATATCCACCCATAAACAGCACCCACACCCACCCCCACCCCACTAAGGCACACATATACAAACACACAAACACCTCTCTCTCTCTCTC